TACCCACAGCTATAAAGGAAATGAAATAGGCTGCATCTATATCATAGCGAGCGCATAGTGTAAAGTGCTTGCAGCTGCTGCTTCATTACATTATGGCCTCAATAGCATGTCTACATTTAATGAAAAAAAGAGCACAACCTCTTTATTGTCTCATCTGTAGTAGCCAACATCGGAAATCTAATGGCGCCCTGGGAAAACAACTGTACTCTCCACAATACAGAAGAAAATGGGAAATGCAGGGTGGTTGTGTGTAAGGAACGTTTACACTGAATGCGTTTTTTTCCATACAACTGTGCTACTTGTTTTTCAAAGTAAACATGCTCAAGTTTTGTGTACTTTGTTCAGTGATGTGGATTTTAATATAGTTAATATTAAGGTGTCGTTATAGTTACCTTTACATGTTTTTAAAATGTTTCGACATACACAAAATGCTGCAATAACATTTTGTTTATTATAAGCATGCACGCAGTTATGTTCTTTGCCGTTTTAAATTTTCAAACTTCTTTAAAGTAGGTTAGATTCTGACTGTCAATTTTTTTATTGTTTAGCAGCTGAAAAAAAAAGTACTGAAAGGGATTCCAATGATATCGTTCCTCTGTAGCATTATTGTTATAGTTGTGGTGTGGACCTTGCTATTCTTTCAGTTGGTATAAATCAGAATTGGAAGCCGTAATTTAAAAGTGTGAAACTTGCTAAGTGCCATAATGAAGATTGCTAATATGCCTCCGAGTCTGTGTTAAAGCCTGTGTACACCAACAAAAATTTTCTTTTCTCTCTCCCTTTCCCTTCACTATCCATTATATGTTACACGAGTGTGATTAATGCTGTTAAGCTTCAAGACTGTAAACTAAGACCACTTGTTTTGGGCATTTACACTAGGTTAGCAATCTGACAAGTAAATAACATGTTGTCAATGTTGTTCAAATCAATGACCCATGAACTGTCACCAGACACTGAAGCCAATGTTACTGCAGGAGGATTGTCCCTATAACATATATACTGGAAGTCACCTTGAGTAAAAGCATAATCTATAAGAAAATGACTTTGTGTTTTTGGGTAAAGTGCTAGAGTAGATGTTTTTTTGGAAGATGTAGCTGGACTACAGCTAATGTATCTAATTTCTGGTATTTATCTGTATTTATTAATTTTTTTCTGATGTTCAGGTGCTGTGATATTAATAGACACTTAAACTGACATCAGGTCTGTGGTTTTGTGCCATTTAAAAGAATATTATCGTAGCAGTGTTTCTTCTCTGTCATCTAAAGGGCTCTTTGTATATATGCGTGTGGAAGCGGGATGTTTGTGCTTTTATGAATGTTTGTGTACTCAGTATTTGTCGACCTTGAAACTAGGTTATTCTGGATGTTTTATTGTTTTTTCCAGGGATGTGTTAATCCACTGCTTCTTTCAATCTGTTCCTTATTCCTGTCTCTCATTCTTGCTCATTTAATCTCTCAGTGACAAGAGGCACTCTCTCAGACACATTTCCCAAGCTCCTCTGCAGAAGTCATGCCCAGGAAATCTCTGTCACTACTTGTGTCACTACTACTATTTTCTGTCAGTTAACTGCTTGATGACTTTGTACTGTAGTTTCAGATAGTGTGACTTTGCAAATGACAGAGAGTGTAATTGGAGTGAGTAATTCTGGACTAAACCAGTCTGAGCCCATTGGCTGAGTAGATGGAATGGATCCAGTATAAATATGCCTGTAAAAGTCTGATTTATTTCAGTCTCTGTCCACAGCAGCTGGAGTCCTGAGCGCTTCGTTTATCATTCTGTGTCAGCCACAAACCCATCTAAACCCTAAAGAACATCTTTGCACCCGTGCTTCCACAAAAATAAATGATTAAAATACACTTTAGCTTGTACGGCAGTGGTCTGGGCTTCACTTGGAGTGCCACCGGAATAGCCGTCACTTTACCTCAGCAAATCCATTACTCAGATTCAGTAGGGAGCTCTGTCTGCTGAAGCCGTGAGCCACTTATCCATCTTCAGAAGTGTGGGCCGACTCTCCCTGTTACACAACCTGCCCTTCTGACCCTCCTCTGCTAAAAGACAAGAGTTTTAATTTAATTTTGCCTTTATCATAGTGAGAGGCAGGTTCAATTGTGTGATTTTTTTTTTTTTTTTTTCACGTGCTTTATCAATCTAGAATGTAAATAAAATTTAGCTATTGATGAAAGCATTTATATTGAAGCCCGGAAGGGCAATATAAATGTATTTTATTTGTGTTTTTTAAAGTGTCTTTATGAGACTATTTCCTATGCTGTTTTTTTCTGCTGTATGTAACAAACAAAATGGCAAAAATATCAATAAATCGATAATTTTTCAAAAATCAGCGGCGTAGAAAAACATTTTGGAGAATATTTGAAAAATCATTTTTACACCGCAGAAAAAAAGAGTGATATAGGCAAGTGGTGCGCATGCGCGACCAAAATAAAAAAATGTGCTGAGTAAATAAGTTCAGACCGCTCATTTCTAAAAGCATAAATCTAAGCTATGCGCTGCCTGGTTTCAGAGCAAAACGCAAAACTGAACGTTTTTCATTCAGCGACATGCTTCACTTGGCAGTGCTAAAACCGGCAGTGCATATAATTACTTGCCCACAACCCACCAAAATAAGAGCTTGCTGATTTTAGGTTTGAAAATGATGAAAATTCATATAAAAAAGAAAAGAAAATTCAAATGTAAATATTAGCATTGTATTTTTAAGTGTATTATAAAATAATTGTATTTTTATTTAATACTCACTTTTTATTTTAAAATATAATAGTATTATCACACTTTATTTATTGATTTATTATTTTATTTAAAAAAAATAATGTGCAACAATACTATTATTACTATTATTAATTATCTTATTTTTTGTAGTTCTATTTAATGGCCATTAATGTGCAGTGTGAGCACCAAACCAAATTTCCAGGTGCTCTCATGAGAACCAGACTGAAACGACTTGTGTGCACCCCTGAATATAGGTAAGAGACAGAGGGAGGCATTTACAAACATTCAGGTGATTATTATTTTATTTTATTGATTTCTATGTGATACACACTTGAGCATTGAATGCAAATACCACATTCAGAACTGCAGGTGGTGACTTTTCATCATCACTTTTATTGCTCTTTTTTTTTTATTTTATTTTTTTTATCAAAAAACAGTTTCCCTCTTCCTCTCTCCCAGCTCCTGTTGGCCTCCAGTGAATGAGTGGGCATGAGTGACTGTGGGTGGATGGACGTGTATGTGTGTCAGAGAGTGAAATGCAGGTCTTGCTGGGCAGCAGCCTCATCACTGCACTAAATTACTGCCCTATTTAATTAACACACTCCTGCTTAAATCTCCCCTCCTGTCCTCTCAGACTCTCTTGACCTTACTCGGTGAGCACATGCACACAGATACACAAATACACACTGGGTGATTAAAACAAATCCATCTTTCTAAATGTGCGTAATGACTTGCAGTCACCTGCCAAAACTCACCTGCTCTTGTTTAGCTTGTGCCCTCACACTTTTTCCAGCGCCGTCCGCACGCACACTCACTCTCCAGCGAAATGACAAACACTTCAATCACACGCTCACATTCTAAATCACAAATAGCCCTAATTACACCTCCCACACACACGCACCTGATGCTTTATTCAGAGACCTCTGCACAATGACACACGTTGATGCATGAGACCAGAGCAGTACGTTATTGTTCTGTTAATGCTTTGAATAAGTCGCTTCATCTAAACAATTGTTATGAATCAGCTGTCTCCGCTCACTCACATTTGTGTTGTAATATCCCTGTTTACACAGTGTTTGTTTTCTGAATATTACTACCATTCTGTGTGTTGAAAGATGGCTTCATCAGGATGCAAATTGCCATGGAAACAGTAAAGGATTATGCTATGTGTATAACAGAAAATGAAAACAGGAATCGCAATTAATTTTGGAGTTGACATGTGGTTTCCAGAGCAGAAACATTATACTTTTCTCTCTGCATCCTGCTTGGCAGAATGGTAGTACTAGATGTCTTTTATGTGTGTGTGTGTGTGTGAGGTTTATGTGCTGAAATGAGAAGGGTACATACAGACTCTCTCTCTCCTGCCACTCTGCTCTCTTATTCATTAGTGTGGGCTGAACAGATGTGGCTTTCTGTTAGTCGCTAAATCACTTTTATTGTGGCTCAACTTATGGCAATTCTGCAGCTTCTGCTAATTTAGCAAAAAGATTGTTACACAGAGTACTGCTCGTGTGCAAACAGAGATTTGGATGCAGAATATAAATCTGGCAGATGCAGAGGCTGACAATGCAATCAGTTTTTGGCAAATTTTACGAGCATGCTAGTTTAATGACCTTGCTCTAAAAAGTGGAGTTTAATGTTTAGTTTAAATACAGCAGATTTGCTTTTCAATATTTAACATTTAAAGCTCCTTTAACTATAACTATGTTTAAAGCATTCCCTGTTTTTCACTACTCCAAAACAAAATTTATGTGTTGGTTTGGACTAGAGATGTGATATTTTTGCAGTCATAATAGTATTGGTATGTAAATGTAAAATTTTAGTATCAGTCCAGTGAGTGAAAGTGGCCATTATATTTGATCTAATACATTATATTCAAATTACCATGTGATTGCACATTATTTCTAGTTGGCTCACCTATTCTTAAACACAAATAGATGAAATGTTTACTCGCAGTATGTCGATTTTTCTTTTTTTCTCCCTCCATTTAACTTAAAATTAAAATGTACATCTTCCATTTAACTTTTATAAAAAGATCAGAAAGATATTTGGCTGTACGTATTTTAAAATATTTTCAAAGCAATTTTAATCTGTATGTGATGTTTGTTGTTATTTGAAGCATGTAATGTAATCAGTCAATGTAGATTAATACTGTATCTAATATTGGCCAATATACATTGCCTTCAAAATCCAAATAATCATCGGTTATCATTACCAGGCGCAGTTTCCATATCGGTGCAACCCTAATTTAGACTCTTGTGTCTGATTTCTTTTTTTAGTGTCGGTAAATGTGTTGGTGCCCAACTGTAAGATCTACAATGACGCGAGCTGTGATATCTCAGCAGACGGGCAGCTGCTGGCTGTGTTCATTCCCAGCAGTCAGAGGGGTTTTCCTGATGAGGGCATCTTGGCTGTGTACTCCCTGGCCCCACACAACCTGGGAGAGATGCTCTACTCCAAGAGATTTGGTGAGTGACCCTGAGACATGAACCGCTCGACCTCATAAGGGCTGTTAGTTTGTAAAAACATGACTCTCCTCCCTGTGCTGACGAGCGTTTAAGACACTGATTGAGCTATCAGAGCTGAAATTATTTTAAACTTGTGCTTAATTAAATCGAATGCAAAGGGACACGGCTGTTTGCATTGTGCTCTCATTTTCCCTCTAAGTGGCTGAACAAACAGCAGTGATGGAGCTCGTTTAGAGGCAGCTTTAATTAGATAGTCCCCATTTAAAAGCCAAATGAAGGCAGGGCTGGGACCAGGCTGCTAATGGAAACCAATGATGAGGAAGTATGAGTCCTGCTTGTTTTAGATTAAAGTGATTTGAAACGCTGTTCTCTCTCTCTCTCTATGTGGGTTGGTCTTCGCCATTGGCTGTACAGGCCTCAAGGAACTATCATTCATCCTATCCAGTAACAGTGGATTAATGAGAGCAATCAACCAGGGTCCTCAATACTAAATCGTTCGTTTCCATTTGCTGATCACATCGCTAGCACTCTTTGGCTCATGCACACGCCAAGCAAGGCTGATTTCTAAAGTTAAATGGCTATGAAATTCAATTAGGTTTTAGGATGAAAAATTATATTAGCTATAATTACAGTCTGAGCAGGTCTAAGTGTGAACTTTTCTAATTTCACGCTTAACAGATTGGTCTGAATCCTCTGCTTATAACATTTACAGCAATTAATAATGTACAAATGAACATTTTTGTATTAATAGGGTTCAAAATTTTTTCATTGGATTTTCATAATTTTAGTTCAGTCTTTTTCACAATAGGCTTACTGCCATGATTTGACTATTTATATGTAGTTACTGCTTAGCTAGCTCATTCAGTGTATTGCTTTATTATATTGCCGCTTTAACAAAAAGTCCTGTATCCCAGTCTTGTTGAAATTATTGTTTCACACAATTGTGGTGATTTTCTAATGGTTTGGCTTAGCCTGTAGTTTTCAGTCAACGTTTCCATGCGTATTTGTCACAGGTCCAAATGCCATCTCTCTCAGTTTGTCTCCGATGGGTCGTTACGTGATGGTGGGTCTGGCGTCTCGCCGCATCCTGCTGCATCAGATCACTGATCACATGGTGGCACAGGTCTTCAGACTGCAGCAGCCCCACGGAGGAGAGACGTCCATGAGGGTATGTCACTGCTGACGTCACATCTTCTTTAGAGACTGCCACAGCTCTCAATACCGTCACGATGTAAAACAAAATATGTGACCATGTCTTATGACAAAAGAAAGCACTATTTATTTCTAGAAATCTAAACCACCATACCTCCTTAAAATTAAATTAAACTCTGTGAAGGTAAGCTGGAAATCTGTACACGTATCTTACAATAAAAAAACAAAAAAAACAATTAGATGGCCTTCTTATATAAGATGTCAGTTCAAGGTCAACAAATAAAAATGAGCTGGTGCCAATAGCCTCGTGGGCAACGCACCGACATATAGCGCCGTTGCGCTTCAGCCATCCCAAGTTTGAGTCCCGGCTCACGGACCTTTCCCGATCCTGTCCCCCCTCTGTCTCCCACTTCGCTTCCTGTCTCATTACTGTCTTGTCATAATAAAGGCAAAAACACCAAAAATAAATCTTAAATAAAATAGACACTTTTAAATAATAAAAAAAGTAAACAAATAAAAAAATTGCCTTCTAACAGCAGGACTTCCATCTAAATATTTATAACAAAAAGTACTGTATTTTTTTAAATGAAATCACAAATTTTCCATTTAAATGTTTTCCAAATCACTCTCAAAGTGAAGACTCCATAAAACCCATTTACTACACTTTTTTTCCTCCATTTTTAGTCAATGTAGTCATTCCTTTCATGACGTTTGATTATTGTGATGTTTGGTTATTACTGGTGGTCTGCCATATGTAGATCAGCTCTCTGTGCTCTCTACAGCAGAGGGGGGAGCCTGGGGTTTGGAAAAGCCTTTGAGTAGGAACCTGACCTAGATACGCTCTCTTAGAAATAGAGAGGGAGAGAGAAGTGGGAAAACTGTGTGTTTGTGTGGAGCGAAGGGCATAAATGGAAATATCTCCATGGTTGACTTTTGTTTTTGTAAGCTGTGTTCATGGCAGGATTCTGAACTCGGATTAATTTGAGAGCGATGGAGCAGGAGAGCTTCATTTTTATCCTTGTTCAGTCTCTAAACATGCAACACCAAATCTCTCTCCGCAGAGGTTAGAAAGCCGGCGTACAGTGAGCACTTGTTCATGTTTTCATGGGTCTTTGTGGTTATTTCATCAGTGCTCCTCCCCGCTCAAGTCTCTGTGTGTTTCTTGCTGAGCCTCATTTGTATTAAAAAATATACAGCATCCTCTTAATTAGGCTGGTCACCACAGTGTAGTTCTTACAATAATGTCTTAATCAGAAACTGTGATGGTCTTAAAGGATGTTAGTACCGTTGTTACTGCAGCTGGAGCTGTATTTAAAATATAATCCATACATGAATTCAGTCTCTCTTAATGACACTCTCAAGCACGCTTTCTCAGCTCTAATGGTTATTGTACATCACTACCAGAGGTGATGTAATGAAGTGGACAGTGCTGCACTGTTATGTCTTATATGAGATAATGATGAGTCTTTGAGCTTCACAGGTCTGCCTCCTGACTGTCAGCCTTTCACACGGCTCTGTGTGAAATATTTTTTTCCAGAACTGCTTTCATTGAACTTTTCTCTGCATTTTATGTGAGACTGAGATAAAAGTTTCTTATGGAGTGCTTAAACATCATTGTAGGAACTGCAAAAACCAGAACCATTTGAACTGTCAGCATAAGTTTAGTAAGAGCTCAGGTTTTCTGTGTGCTATTGTTAGTAAAAGATTTTTCTAGGAACTTTGTGTAGAATGCTTCCAAGCTAACCAGTGTGAGTGATGTAAAATTGAAGTCAAGAGCTCAACAAAACATCTTTTGTTAAGTATAGGTCAGGACAGGACAGAAAAAAAATAATGCATGGTCTTATAGGGCTTCTGTACACTTTACCTGGAGTAAAATATTTTTTGATTTACAACAAATTATTACTTGAGTAATTCTGAATATATTAATTTGACATGAAAATACATTATTTTACTTGTGTTTAGGTACTTTGCTTAGACATTACAAATGTCTACAGTAATAACAAAATGTAATTTATGTTAGCTAATATGTAAATGTTAAAACACCTGGACTGGAAAATGACAACAGGCTTCTGCTGTGAATCACGGGAAAAAGGTGTATGGGTGCAAAATGCATTATTAACTACTATATACATTTGCAACATCTTTACAGGGTGCCTGATTTCAGCTGTAGCCATAGCAACAGCACTTTTGGTGCATTTCATTGTCTGTGTTTTCAGCTTTTATGACTGTTTGTATAGAGACGTTTCTCACTCATGGTATGTTTATTTATTAGTTTCTATCATTTTCCATTCTATAATTATGTTCTGTTTCCCCTCATGTCTTTATTTATTAGAATAGATCTTTCTGTTTATTTATTTGAAGTGATATTTTCTCGTATGGTAGATAATGAATAAATTTAATACATCAGCACCGTTAATGTGTCTGCTTATTAGCAGGATTAATTATACAGCGGAGAGTGGAAAGAAAATGAACAAAGGTTAGCCCGAGGCTCTATCTCCAGCTTTGCTGTGAACAACTTTTTCTACATATTAATTTTTTTATGTAATAGTCATTTTCATTTTCAAGCTGTTTTAAAGTACTTGTCTCATGCCACTTACCTGCCAGTATTGTCTGATAGTGCTGATGCACACTGTAGTTTCACATTAGGATGCTTTAGATGGGTAACTGGCAATTAATGTCTGTTTTATGAGCAATGTAATATTTAGGAACTAAAAGAATTTTACAGTGGAATACATTAAATTAATCAAAAGTGACAGTAGACATTTGTAATGTTACAAAAGATTTGTTTCAAAGGAATACTGTTGTTTTGAATTTTATATTCATCAAAGAATCCTGAACAAAATGTTTCATGGTTTCCACAAAAAAATATTAAACATCACAACTATTTTCAGTATTTCTAATAATAAGAAATGTTTCTTGAGCAGCAAATCAGCATATTGGAATGATTTCTGATTGATAATTTCTGAATGATTTCTGATATAAAGATTTCTTATTTAAAATATAAGTTATTTTAAATTGTAATAATATTTCACAGTAACTGTATTTTGAATTAAATGAAGGCAGACTTGGTGAGCATAAAAGACTTCTTTCAAAAACAAAAAAAATCTTACTGTCTCCAAACTTTTAGATTTGGATTAGATTTGAGTAAAATTTGTGTGAATAATGTATAACTGATTTGAATGTTGTTGAAAATGAATTTGTCAGGAACTATATTGCGTTTTAGGAACTCGTAGTAATTAATCTGTGCTGTATACATCAACACTACTCATATAAACACACTCAGAAGAGCTGTATATGTTTAAGTCATCATCACTGCTGAGCCCCACAGCATCCCTGCAATACAATCTACTGGGTCCAGATGCACAAACACACTGCGTTCAGGTGGTGTCTTGCAGACATGTGCAGCCCTCTCATACACACTCTCTTCCCTTAAAGAGACTGTTTGAACTGCCAGCCTTTGTGGCTTTTATCCTTGTCCTGAATTTTCTGTGTCTAGAGTAAAGAGAGAGAGAAAGAGTTTGTCTGTTGATCACTCAGCTGCAGATGAATGAGACCGCTTTCTCTCTCCCTGGCAGACATGAGCTTGTCCTATTTTTGTCTTTTTATTCTAGAGCCAGTGGAGTGTAAGTAGTATGCCAAGGCTGACAGACAGGGACGGGGGAATGGATTGGAAAGAAAGAGAAAGAGTACATTGGAGAAAGAGATTTGACTTTTCACAGTTTAGCCTCTTCTCAGTTAAGCTAGCAGTGTTGACATATCTGACAGAGACGGCAGTCTACAGCAGAGAGGATGATGGGAGGTGTTGGCGACTGATAGAATGAGCGAAACTACTGAGAGGACTGTGGGCTGGTTTAAACAGGTGTGTTCTTGTATATTTTTCAGAGGGTGTTTGATGTGGTGTATCCAATGGCCCAAGACCAGCGGAGACACATCAGTATAAATTCTGCACGCTGGCTGCCAGAACCGGGGCTTGGGCTTGCTTATGGAACCAACAAAGGAGATCTGGTCATCTGCAGACCTGTGTGAGTCTCCTATCCATCCCTCCATAGCTCACTTGTGGGTCATAAATCACTTTGCATTAAAGAACAAAAGTGCTGTTGTAAGTTTTAAAAAAAAGTTTTTTTTTTAAAGAAAGGTTTAATAAACCCAGCTGGACTCTTCAAGATAATTGCTTGCTAAACATAATGAGCCCTTTACTCATCTGGGTGTGGGTCAACATTAAATGAGAAATGATCCGTAATGTTAACCATGATAAAACAAGTTGCGATATAAATGGTGTGCATATAAAAGCGTTTTGAATGTTGAACTCAGTCTGTCTTTCCTCTGCTTTGCCCATCTGTTTTTGTTTTCTGGTGAGAACTGCTCTGTTTTTTGTTTATGTAAATGAATGTCATACATCTCAAAAACCTTTTTGGTTTTGTCAGTTCTTCAGCAGTTTTAAAAGAAGTTTTCCTGCAAGTGATTGGTGTTTGTTAGCGAAACAGACACTAATTAATTCACTTCAAGGATCATTTCCCACCACTGTATTTGGTTGTATAATTTGCAGCTTGCCTGTGGATGTTGCTTTTTTGCAAGTTTCTCATAATTATCATCAAGGTTACTGTGGATACAAAAAGCCCACGTTGCAGCAAAAACATTCTCTACAATGTAAACATGCTCTCACTTCATTAATGCAAACAGTTTGCTAATTAGAGAAAACCGAAAATGCATCATACACAAGCTCACAGCCTTATTTGTAGTTTATGTACTCGTGTGTGGTGTCCGGTTCCCAATGAATATAATGTTGTGTGCCTTAGACACAAAAAATCCAATGGCTTGGCATCAGTCGTGACAGCAATTTATCTGTCTTAGTGTAATTTACATGATAATTTGCTCTTATAGAAACATGTAAGAGTCTGTCTCGATTATTGATTAAGGAAGTTATTTGATCTAATCACAGTTGTTTCAGATGATAATTGTGAACTTTCAATTTCAATCACATTTTGTCATTTAAATAAGGGAAATTTAAGCGCAAAAAGAAATGCCATCAAATGTGTACTCTCAACTCACATTTTCTAATTTGTAGGGAGAAGCAGAGGAGTCGGATTTTGGCACCACACCGGTCCGTTATTTACATTACATGTATGCAATTGGCAGACACTTTTATCCAAACCAATTTATATTGTATTCAAGTTATTAATTTATCAGTTCATGCATTCCCTGGGATTCCAACCTTGGTGATAATAGCTTAGAACTGTGCGAGCTACAGTAATGCAGTTTAAAGGGATACTCCATCCAAAAATGTAAATTCTCTCATCAATTACTCAACCTTATGCTGTCCAAGATGTCTACGACTTACTTTCTTCTGTGGAACACAAATTGAGATTTTAGGAAAAAAGTTTATGGGTCCTTCAGTGAACATGATGGAAATCCATATGACCCCAGTTGATGAATCTAAATGTCTTCTGAAGAAAAATGATAGGTGGGTGTGAGGAAAAATACTAATAAACATTTTAAACCATAAACCACCTTTTCCTGTCAACTGTCAAACATGGGTTCATAAGTTCATGTTTGATGTAAAGGCCAGCATATTGTGATGCAAGTGTATTATGAAACTCGCACAAGAAGAGATGCAGAAGCACAGAGGATCGTATGGGCCTATTTATGTTCAATGGTACTAAAATATACAAATTGGTCCCAATTTATATTAGGTGGCCTAAACTACTATGTACTTACATAGAAAAATAAGTACAGTGTTCATATTGTATTGCTAAACACTTCTGCTGCTATTGAGGTGGGATACAGGTAAGGTTAGGGACAGGTTTGGTGGTATGGGTAGGCTTAAGGGTGGGTTGAGGTGTAAGGGATGGGTCAACAGTGTAATTCTAAATGTAATTACAGAAATTAATTATAGATGTAATTACATGCAGGTATTTTTAAAATATAAGTACAATGTTAACATGTATGTACACAATAAGTGCATTGTATTAATGATTAATTTAAATGCAAGTACATAGTAGTTAAGGCCACCTAATATAAAGTGGGACCTAAAAATTTAATAAAAATTATTAAATCGCTAATCGCAGTTATTTGTTGACAGTCATCAGCACAAAATTCATGATCTTAACAGGCATGCTCCTACACATACAAAAGCGTTTGAATATCAGGAAATTAGGTGAATATTTTGTATAGAATAATGGCTAGTTCTCTTGTTGCTATTTCCGTTTGCACACTATATTTTTTACAACAAAGGCTTTATGCTGCAGTCACGCCTTGTCGTAATTACCGTAATTTCTAGATAACCTGTGATGTTCTACTCAGGGTTGGTCACGTCCTCTCAATAAGACTCAATAATGTGTTTCTTTGGCAACACGTAAATGAAACTGTAATTTGAGCAATCAGTAAAAATGGCAATACAACAAGTAACAGTTTTTATGCAAATGCCTTATTAATAAAAGTATAATTTCAGCGGGATACTAGATATAGTTATTCAACTAGCTGCATTAAACTGTGCTGTATGTCTTTTATTTTCAGATTATTCTTGCATTATTAAGACATTAAAGGGGTCATATGATGCGATTTCAAGTTTTCCTTTCTCTTTGGAGTGTTACAAGCTGATTGTGCATAGATAAGATCCCTGAAGTTGCAAAGACTAAAGTCTCAAAACCAAAGAGATATTCTTTATCAAAGTTAAGACTCTGCCACGCCCCCCTAAAACGGCTCATTCTAACACGCCCCCACATATCTACCTCACTATGTGGAAATATTTGCATAATGCCGCCCAAATGTACACGCAAAGAAAGAAGGCGTGGTTTCAGTAACCGCAGTTAGTGTTGAAGCAGCCATGTCAGGCAGACGCTGTGTGTTTCTAGGCGAAAGCAAAAGCACTTTATTTGGCCTTCCGAAAGTAGATGCATTTAGGAATCTTTAAGATGACTTACAACAGAACAGCAATGCATTTTATGTGTACAGTATTTGAAAAATAATGTTTTTTGAACATTAAAGCATGTCAACATATTCTGTTACACCAAATACACCAAATAATGATCTTTAAAAAAGCATCATATGACCCCTTTAACAATAGGAATTGATAAATGGAAATATTGAGAAATAAGTGGTTATTTTAGTGCTGAAGGTGCTGCCATTTGGTTTCCGCATGACGTTGCAGTGGTCAGGTTGTAATTACAGGTTCTACAAGAAACGGAATGCTTTTTACAAGTCGGAATCTCATAATTATAGTAATTACTACATGGTGTGAATGCACCTTTATTCATGTCATTCTTCAAATTCATGTAGTGTGCATGCTGTTGTTGTTTGATGCCCAGGTTGCCTATCTCTGTCCTGGAGGACTGTAACTAATAGTAACTAACTAATATAGAAATGTGATAGTCTTCAATTGGGCCTTCCTGGGCGTATTTTACAAGCATTTTTATTTTTTATTTTTTTTACAAAGGTGCATGGGTTTTGGTTTATATCATCCTCAACCTCTGGCTGAAGTTGTAAAGTGCCCAAGGCCACAGCCGTTAACAAATGCAAATAATATATTATCATCTGGTTTTTAGATTAAAAGCCAGATACAACAGAACTGTCAGGTTATTTATCTTACACTTAATACACACATATGACATTTGTAAATTATTTTATTTCAGATGGACGCGTAAAATGAACTGAGTTTGCAATGACTCAAAAATAGAGGTGGGGCTTCCAGTATAGACAGCTTCATTGATTATAATGCAAGCTATTTACTTTATATTTTGTTTTTTTAGACACTCACATCTGGAGTAAATCCTATGTGTGAAATTTAAGACGACTTGTAGTCATACACCATCTCATTGCAGTCTGAGTCATGCTCAAGTCATGCTCCCAGGTCCATGACAAGACCAAGATCTTGAAAATATGGTCTTTGACTTGGACTTGAGGCTATCCATTAAAAAAACCATGGGTGTATTCACACCAGGAAAGTCCGCTAGTTCACTTGCTTTGGTCCGGACCAAATACAATGCTGATTTTTTATTTTTTTTTGGTGCGGTTCGGTTTCACACTTCCCTTTTTGCAAGTGAACCAGAAATTGTAAACAAAACCACACGTGTGCTAAGGTTATCCATTCATTGGTTCATCCATTCAACCGTACCAGAGTTCGTTTGGAACTGGACCGAGACCACCTCTTCAGCTGGGTCTCGATGCGGTTGTTTGGTCCACACCCGAGTGCGATTGCTGTATTCACACCTGCCCAAAAGATCCACACTAAGGGGGGAAACGAACTGATTTGATTCAGTCGAACCAAACAAGACAGGTGTGAATACACTCCATGTTTTCATGGTCTTTGTCTTGTTGTGGACCTGGTCTTGACTCAAACACGACCCTTATGTTCTGGTCTCAGTCTTGGCTTGGACTCGAATTATCTGCTGGTCTCTACAACACTGACTGCTTAATAGGATCAATTACATTCTTCATGACATCCCAATGCACACAGTTCAGTGATGGCAGCTTATATGAGACATTTGACACTATTTTGAAGACAAAGTTTAGCCCTAATATTTATTAGGCTGTTCATTCCATTCTTGATGTTAATATACAGACAGATTTTTCCCATCCCCTATACATTTAATTATCATACACTACCAGTCAAAAGTTGTTGAACAGTAAGATTTTTTAAAGTTTAAAGTTTTTTGAAGAATTCACTTCTCACTAAGCTTGCATTTATTTGATCCAAAATACAGCAAAAGCAGGAATATTGTGAAATATTTTTTACTATTTAAATTAACTGCTTTCTATTTGAATATATTTTAAAATGTAATTTATTCCTGTGATCAAAGCTAAATTTTCAGCATCATTACTCCAGTCTTCAATGTCACATGATCCTTCAGAAATCATTCCAATATGCTGATTTGCTGTTCAAGAAACATTTTTTTATTATTATTATCAATATTTAAAACAGTTGAGTACATTTTTTCAGAATTCTTTGATGAATGGAAAGATCCAAAGATCAGCATTTATCTGAAATAAAAAGCTTTTGTAACATTATATACTATACCATTCAAAAGCTTGGAGTCGGGGGATTATTGAAATTAATACTTTTATTTAGCAAAGATGCTTTAAATTGATCAAAAGTGATGATAAAAACATTTATGATGTTTCAAAAGATTTATATTTCAGATAAATGCTGTTCTTCTGAACTTTCTATTCATCAAATAAACCTGAAAAAATTCTACTCATCTGTTTTCAACATAAAAATAATAATAAACGCTTTTGAGCAGCAAATCAGAATAATAGAATGATTTCTGAAGGATCATGTGACTGACAGTAATGATGCTAAAAATTCAGCTTTGAAGTCACAGGAATAAATTACATTTTAAAATATATTCAAATAGAAAACATTTATTTTAAATAGTAAAAATAAATCAATATTTTACTGTTTTTGCTGTACTTTGGATCAAATAAATGCAGGCTTGGTGAGCAGAAGAGACTTCTTTAAAAAACATTAAAAATCTTACTGTTCAAAAACTTTTGACTGGTTGTGTAGGTTTAGAATATCGTCTTCACCTTTCTCTGCAAGCAGCCAGGACCACACACTGCTTCCGCTCTGTCAGTGCCTATAAGGCTGTTACTCTACAGCTTATGATGGACATTGGCAGGAGATGGATCGATCCGACTGAAACGGGTAATTAGCCCCCAGTGATTCCACATATCAGCCTACTCTCATACTGGGGAAAACCCACTCATTATGATGTGTTGAAAAAAAGATCTTTAAAAGTGCACAAATATTGATTACATTCAAGAATACCATGAGCAGGCCTTCATAGCTTGTCTCCTATCCATTAAAAAGCACCACCAGCTTGAAGCAGTGGTTATTCTGTGTTATACATTGTTTATTATTATTTTTTTCATAAGTTAATTACCTTAGCTCTATAATATGCAAGTATTCATCACCTCTCACAACTTTCTCCAACCTTTTGACCTGCTATGCTCTTCAGACAGTAGTCAGAGAGATGTTTTGCTTTCCCTTAGTTAGACTTCCTTAGAGAAAAGAGAAAGAGACTAACAGACAGAGAAGAATAGTAGAAGGGAAAAGGGGGCAAGAAGGAGAGCTGGACAGGCCCATTGGGAGGTAACATCTTCGGGAACTCTTGGTTGGAGACAGGTGCGCGGGATGGTTGGATGAAGTGGATGTCAGCCTCGGCAACTATGGGACTGTCAGTGATATGCTAATGAGCTGCATAGATGCATTGTGGGAGTCCGTGGGGACTATAGCGAGTTTCTTTGAGCTAGGCAAATGAGCAGTCAACGGACTACAGCTCTAACACAGTCGAGAAAGAGAGAGCCTTCTCTTTCTGTCTGCTGTTGTTTAAGCTCAGCTCTTTGTTCTTATGCTGTGTTTGCTGAAGTTTTTTCTCTGTATTTAAACCCGACAAAGTAAAACAAGGGTTTCCCAAAGTCAAAGGGGAATTTTTTTAACTTAATGCATGGGATGTTTGTCTGATTTTTAATTATAGTTTTTAATCAGGAAAACACATTTTCCCTTTTTTTTCTTCTTTCTTTCTTCTATGTTTTTATTTATCTCTGTGCAATTAATTATTTCCAGTGGATGTCACCTTAGAATTTAAAACGGTTTAAAACTTTTAGCTTCTGTAGAGTTGAAATGAAGGTCAACCTTTTTTCTTCTTGCACAGTATATGTGACGTTGTCGATGAGCCTTACGTGGATTACAGGCGCTTATTTCTTTCTCTTTCTTTGTCTGCCTATGTACGTGGCCATGGAAATATTCCGTCCAGTGATGTACACTCAGATAGCAACGGCACTTCTGAACACTCTGAGAGAATATTCACCATCAATAATGGTGGAGGGGTTGGAACCAGTAGCAGCAGGGCTGGAGACAGAGCAGGGTGAGTATGGACATACTTTTATTGAGAGCACCAGAACCTATAGTTGTTTGTTGTTTTTAATACATTTAAATTCAGCATTCATGTTTGTTTGTTTTTTCATTCTAAATGATTTCACTTATTTAATATAAAATGTAATTAAAATATATATATATATATATATATATATATATATATATATATTAGGGGTGGGCGATATGACCTAAAATTCATATCACAATATTTTACACTGTCCAGGTGATACATTCTAATATGCTGATTTGCTGCTCAGTAACCATTTCTGATTATTATCAATGTTTTAAACATTTGTGCTGCTTAATATTTTTAAAGTCTGCGTGAACCGAAAGTTGCTGCCGACTTTATTTCATTGTAGTGACGTATTTTCAGCTGAAACAGAATATTGAATAGAGGGCATGGTTTTATGTTTGCGCTCCTCCTCTCTGTCTCTCACTCATAGCAATCTAACGGTTGGAGGGGTGTGTTTAAGGATATTCTGCCCTAGCCGTCAAACTGACGTCATCAGAAAAGGAATGCCATTCCAGAGCGGAAGTAAATGTTCAGATTTTGATTAAAGATTACGAAGACAAACAAATTTTTTCAGCGGATTAACTTGCATGGATTAATTGTTTACATCAAGACTAGCAATGTGCGCTAGTAAAGTAAATAAAGTCAATTTTGATTTCATGCGGACTTTAAGGAAACTCTTTTTTTCACGATTCTCTTATGAATATTTGAAGTTGTTCTTTGTGTCAGAGCGCTGGAGTTCGTCAGAAATAGAACGCGGCATCAGTTTACTGTCATGGATTTGTCGTGTCGCGTCGCGCTGCATCCACAGCAGAGAACATCACTGGGTTCTATTTGCTTTTGTCACATCGCGTCTGGTGTAGACACGTTGTTTTGGTATTTGTGAATCTTAAGTATATTCATAATCTGCTTTACGTTTACCTGGCACTGGAAGTCCTTTCACAAACTTGTAACTTTTATGCTTAGAGCAGAACCATACATTGTTCATTTATATTTCTACATGGCTGCCTGCAATACAACTCTGACTCTTCAATCACGGCATCTAGTGGTCTGTTGTTGATACAAACACAACTGACAACGGAGCGCTCAAGCGGGGTACTGCGAGTCATGTTGAGGTAATTAAAATGTCAAATTAATATTTTGCGCTCAATTATTTACTTATCAGACAAGTGGCCGCATGGTAAGTGGGGAAATTACGTAGTGTAGTCTTTATCACTCTGCAGAGGTTTCTTTTGCAAAATAATCTGCTGACTGTACACTATCCCTCAGCCTTGCCGTGTCCCCCTTGTTATAGCTCCGCGCCCCCCCAGTTTTGGGAACCACTGGAGTAGGCGATTTGCGCTCTATTAATTTGGTCTGTTACGATGCTCTACATGTTTGATTACTAATGCCGGTGTAGTATAACGTTCAGCCTCGACTCTTAATCATCATTTGTGTTAAAATTTGCAAAGCATACCAAATAGAACAAAACTATATAAATGCAAAATTTGAATTCATGAATATATAACGGTATCCACGGTATAGAGAATGAGAATGTGATGTAACGCCGCGTTGAGTTCTGGGAAACTGCTTTGTTTATCCGCCATACTTGCAGAATAGCGCTGCCTTTCCGCTATTGAGTTTAGGGCAGTATTTAATTTTTTTTGTCGTGGTTGAAAAATGTCACCATTGTATGTCATTCATGCTGCATCGAGAATTGCAATAGTAACTCAGATCATCATTCTGAGAGAAAACTGGATAATGCAGCATGTTTTTTCACCTTTTTTCTATGTGTTAAAACACCAAAGGAAGCAGGTCGCCGAGAAGATGCCGAATAGTAAATCTGTTAATGTCACTGATTAAACCCACTGCCTCTCACTCAATAAAAGAATCACATTTCTGTGTTTTTGAAAGATTTGATTTTGTTAGTTTAATAATTAACGTTACCTTCTTTGCGAGTATGACTCTCACTAGGCTTGTGAATTAGTAGAACTTGAACAGGGGACTTGCTAAAATGCTTTAAGTGGCTTAATGTACCACGACAGTGATAAAGACAAAATTGTAAAGCATATACTATGTGCAGATACGCATATAAGCTCAAAATGTGAACGCAACGCATTTATTTACGTTAAGACCTCGCAAAACACCCGCTGAATGGCATTAAACAGCTTGAAAGATCAAAGACAATTTTTAATATAACTCCGACTGGATTCGTCTGAAAGAAGAAAGTCATATATACTTAGGATACATTGAGGGTGAGTAATTTATGGGCTAATTTCATTTTTAGGTGAACTAACCCTTTAAATATCACTGTCTTAATCCATAAGCGCTTTCTACATTACGGTTTTCTAAAGGGAGGAAAACGCTTAACGTTTAAACATGTCGCGTTAATATTCTGGCTCACCTGCATGTCTTTTAGCATCACTGTCTTAGTACATTAAACCAGCATTTGAAAATGCTACAAAACTGTTCACAAGCTCCTAAGGATTTGATTTTGCTTGTCATTTGTTGAAATTAGGCATGGGCCGGTATGAGATTTTGACGGTATGATAACCTTAAGCAAAAATATCACGGTATTTTTGTTACAGCTCTAAAATGTGTTATTTTTAAATGTCTGGGTTAAAAAAAAAAAAAATGGAATGACCCAGGGAAAAAGTATTGAACACGCTTACTGAAATTTAAGCTTCATCATGCTTTTTCTTCAGCAATAGAGCCTTGCGTGGTGAGCGTACATACAGGCAACGGCGGTTGAGTGCATTACTTATTATTTTCTTTGAAACAATTGTACATGCTAATTCCAGGTCTTTCTGAAGCTCTCCACAAGTGACCCTTGGCTCTTGGACAACTCTTCTGATAATTTTATTCACTGCTCTGTCAGAAATCTTGCGAGGAGCACCTGGTCGTGGACGGTTTATGGTGAAATGATGTTCTTTTCACTTCCGGATTATGGACCCAACAGTGTTCACTGAAACATTCAGAAGTATAGAAATCCTTCTGTAATCAATGCCATCAGTGTGTTTTGCAACAATAAGGTTGTGAAGGTCTTGAGAAAGCTCTTTGCTTTTACCCATCATGAAATGTTTCTTGTGTGACACGTTGGTCATGAGACACCTTTTTATAGGCCATCAGTTGGGACTAAACCAGCTAATATTAATTTCCAGGCTAGGGGCTATCCTGACTAGGGGCAGGATTGCTTTCTATTTACTGATAGATTTCAGCTGGTGTCTTGGCTTTCCATGCCTTTTTGCACCTCCCTTTCATCATGTGTTCAATACTTTTTCCCTCTGTCATTCTACTTTATTACACAGAACTTAATTTCTGAATTTATTTGTTTTGCTTTCTTTGTATGTATGGATTACTTGGGTTGTTACCGACATCTGGTGAAAATTTCATGTCAACAGTGCCTTTAGAGATATATTTACTGAGAAAAATGGAGGTGTGTTCGATACTTATTTTACCTGCTGTATGTTTAATTCAAAAGAAAATAAAATAAAAAAGAAAATAAATTATGTAATTTTTGCTCTTTGGCTTGGCATACTGAGCATATTTCTAAGCGCTAATAAAGAAGCGCTGTTTCGTTAATACCTTTTCATCTATTCTGTTGTGATGTGGTATATATTGTGTGACTGAGAATTCACCTCCCATCAAATTATCACCGACCAGCTCTCCAAGGTCCGGGCAACAGCAGCGTGTCACTTAGTGGATGGGCATGATAGCGAAGCACAGCTGTGAGGCACGGCTGCTGCTAATTAAGCCCCATCACAGCAGCCATGAATCCAGCTTGTTTTGCTGACACTTTTTTGGTAAAAAAAAAAAAAAAGCCTCAATGAGGTGTGTTACTGCTGTTTTTATCTTGTTGGTCTTCGTTTCCTGACACACTGGTGCCACAGTTGTCCACAATGGGCTTAATGAGACATCTTAGTCCACTCTATAGCAACAGTGCTTCACCCAAGATTGTGATGGGGTATCCATCTCCCCTTAAAGTATCACCATCCTGGCCATTATATTGGCAGCTCAGAATCCAGGCTTATGGCTGGAGCAGGTGGCCGAGAGGAAGGCCACAACAACATAAGACTGCTGGCATCACATGATTAGGCATAACTAATACTAATGGTCATCCACTGCCTGTTACTGCCTGTCTGTGTGTTTTTCTATAGTCCTTTAAACTTAAATGTTTTTCAAATGTTTACATTTTCCTTGGAGACTTTGCTTTCGTTGTTAAAAATGACAATTATATGAAGTTCTTTGAATTTCAGTTCATTTTATTTATACTTCATTACATTCAAATTTCAAGGACCGGAATTAAATTTATATTTAAAGGATACTTTCAATTTAGTGTTTTATGCCACATGACCCTGTCCCATAGTTTACTGTATGTGCTGTATTTAAAGGGATAGTTCACCCAAATTTAAATTCAATTCTGTCATTTACTTACCCTCATATTGTTGCAAAGCTGTATAGGTGCATCCCAAATCGCGTACTTATGAAAAGTGCACTTTAAATAGACTCCCCATGTTAAATTGCCCAACTTTACAGCAGAAAAAAAACATGTTTACAGCCTGGTTCAAAAAATGATTTTGGTCTATATAGCTAATTTTGCCCTTCATGACAACTGGAGGGGAGTGAAGTTTTTTTTATAACTCATCCGTTTAAATTATATTAAGCCTTTAAGTTCTGCATAATTAAGGGCGCGGCCACTTGAGTGACAGGTGGATTGCCACTGCTGTCACCACCGTCGAGCTAGGTGGGCGTGGTTTCAGCAACCAGCTCCCGCCTCTTTGCCCATTTTCGATTATCCAGGAGTGACACGCGGTGACGCGCTGCCAAGATGGCGACGGTCGGCTCCACCTACTTTAGACTTCAAAAACGCTCTTCGGAAATCTACGGGTGACGTCACGGACACTACGTCCATGTTTTTATACAGTCTATGGCTGTGATGTAAAAATATCATAATGACGTATGACGCACGGAATGAGCTGTCTTTGGTAAATAAAGTGTCATAAATGAGTGTCCAGTCATTATAAAACTCCCCTTTCACTCAGCGTCTGTGAAGTGGAGCAGGACAACGTCCCACCAGTCCTTGTTTAAGACTCTCATCAGCAGACGACTGGTTTTGGGTGCGGGAAGGGGCACTTTTACTGCTTTCTAAAGTAAGCAGCACCGCACAACAGTTCATGTGCTGGTCGTCGCCTGATTAGGACCCAAAGTAGATAAATGTGAAGTGTGCTTTTTAAAACAGTATCCGACAACAGTGGGAAACTCTGTATATTCATGCAGTGTGCGCATGTCAAAAGATTCAATCCGATCAGAAGCTTGTGACTAGAGATGCACCGATCAATCGGCCAGGGATCGGAATCGGACGATTTTCCTCATGATCGGCCCGGATCGGTGACCGGCTGGTCAGTCTCACTTCTTTCCGATTCCGAGCCAATCCGTTTCGTTACCAGCAGCACAGGCAATAACGTCAGCCGCGCATTCTCGCTCTCTTCTCTCCGACAACCCCTTCTCTCTCACACACACGTCTTATTCGCTCTGGTTAAATAGTGCTTGTATTGCGCATTATTTTAGTCATTCCCGCAGGTTTCGCGCTTACACCAAAAGCGCGCACCACCACTGACTGATCTATATTAGTGGAGCGCACAAGCTGCGCTTAGTCTCAAACAGCTTGTGAGCCACAAATACCAAAATGAGTGGCTAACTGCGCTAAAACGTTCAAATACATACAAAATTATGTCACGATGCCCGTCTTGGCGAGTATCCAGGTAAACACAGTTAGTTTTGGAACGTTAAATAGTTGAGAAATAGAACACGTGTAACAGTATATTTGGTCCGTGGATAAACTCTTAAAGGGACCGCAGTCCAATATTTCTGCTGCTGTCTGTCATGTTAATCAAAGAACAAAAGACAAAGAAAATCACTTTCTGCTCTTGACTGAATACGTTTTATAACTTTAATTGTAAGCATACATCTGTATATAATTTTTACAATGAAGACTACAGAAATTAAAGTAATCAAATGCAAAATATAAAACTTTTTATTTATATACAAATAAAAAACTGGATGTGTTATTTTATGTTTGATTACTTTAATTTCTGTAGTATTTCTTACCTGAATAAAATCTTACTTAATCTTAATTACTTAATCTTACTTAAAATCTTAATAATCTTACTGAAAAAATTAGTTTCATAGCTCTCTTTATTCTATTGCATTTATTTGTGCTGTTGTTTGCAATTTTTTATTTGTTCTTATTTTATTACTGACTTTTTACTTGTGTTTTTTATGAAAATAAAACTTTGCGTTGAAGAAAAGTAGATTTTTTTTTGTATATGCTGTCAATTATAGTTCTTAGAAAATCGGAAATCGGCACAAATCGGTATCGGCAGATCACACTAACAAAAAATCAGAATCGGCCAAGAAAATTGCAATCGGTGCATCTCTACTTGTGACATAAACGCACATATTAACCCGATCACTTTATTTAGCATTCATGTAAACACTACGTTCGGATTCGTCAATCAGAATGAATTCATTCTGATGGAAGCAAAAAGTGTCCATGTAAACGTAGCTACTGTTACAGTAGCCCAATTCCACGGGAAAACCGCGGACTTGGCAACACTGGTTGTTTTAGACACCACTGACTTTAATTGTATGGACAAAAACAGTTGTATCTTCTTTATGTTCCACCGAAGAAAAACACAGTTTTGGAAAGACATGAGGGTGAGTAAATGATGACAGAATTAAAAATTTGGGGGTGAACTATCCCTTTAGCTCTGTCTGTAATAACTGGGGGAGACGTTGTTTGGTTTGGTAGCATTGTATTGATTTCTCCTGAGGATGAATCACTTCTGCTTGTATTATTCTGAAGTCGTTATAGATAAAATACATGGTACTGTAGTACATCCATCCTCACTTAACAAACTTCTGTGAAAGAAAACAACCTTTTGTCAGAAAAGATTTAGCTTTACCAAGCAAGCAGTTATATAGACACATCCCGTTCCATCTAAAGTTCCTCCAGCCCTGTGGAGAATTTAACTCCACTGTGTCATATCAGATCAGACCAGAATCGCCTGAAGACTGCGTGAAGATTTGGTGTAGTCATCACTCACCCTGCTGTGGGATGTGTCTTGTTTGTAGGAACAGCAGGACTGATTGGAGGTCCCACAGAGAGATAGGTCTGATGAATGCGATTGGTCTGCAGCCACGACATCCTGCCCCCACTGTTACATCACAGGGGACGCAGACACAGACTCTGCGGTTACAGAATGCAGAGACACAAACAGACCGTGACCTTCCAGATGAACCTCAGCTGCCCAGCACTTCTCAGGGGTCACAGGTTACTGATGGTAAGACACACTCTGTGAGTCAGAATATCATTACTGAGCTTAGGTGAGGTTTGTCCTTGAGATCAAAAGACAAATCCTTGGTTAGTTTTACATCTCTTTGCTTCAACATATTGGCTGCTTCTGCTGAAAATTTCTCTATTAACAAAACATTCTTTTTATCCTTTAGACAGGATCACTAATCTGAATAAATTTAGCCTGAGTGCATGTTCCGGTTTCAATATTTATACTGTATGCCTTAAACTTTGCAGTCTGATGACAATATCTGTTTACATGTGCCACACATGTATTCAGTGCATGCAAAAGAGTGGCATTTAGTGTTACCATAGCAACAAGAAGCTCTCAGTGCTCCTGTCAGAGATCTTTGCAACAACTTTTATTTCCTTTTTTTAAGTCGTTGTTTCATACTTTTCATCCCTCTTGTCTCCTAACAATCTTTTTATTTTTCAGTATGTTAAAAAGGCAAAGTCTCCAACACAGTGTCGTTTCTGTTAACTAAAACTAAAGCTGTTTTTATTAAATGAAATATAGGTGAAATAAATTAAAATCTAAATATTACTTATAATTACTTATATAAGCTACATATTTAAAGGGGTCATATGATGTTGCTAAAAATAACATTATTTGGTGTATTTGGTGTAATGAAATGTGTTTATGCGGTTTAAGCTTCAAAAAACACATTATTTTCCACATACTGTACATTATTGTTTCTCCTCTATGCCCTGCCTTTCTGAAAAGTGTCGATTTTTACAAAGCTCATCGGTCTGAAAAGCGAGGTGTGCTCTGATTGGCCAGCTATCCAGTGCATTGTGATTGGCCGAATACCTCAAGCGTGTGACGGAAATGTTACGCCCCTACCATATTATATGATTAGAGATGTTCCGATACCCTTTTTCCCTTCCCGATACCGATTCCGATACCTGGGCTCAGCGTATTGGCCAATACCGAGTACTAATCCGATACATGGCTGTGTATCTGTATATACAGCTGTATGTACTACTAGCCCTGTATGAATTGATAGAATTATTTTATTGTGTGCTTCAGACTTATCCCTTAAAAAAACATGAACAAATACATACAGTGAACTAGAGTATTTTTATTATCTGACATACATTTGACAGTAATATTATTTATTTTTCTTAAGTGAAAAAGAACTTCAAATGCAGCCACAAATCTAACACTGTAAACTGAAAAGATATTTTAGTTTTACAATATAACTGTATAAAAAACAGTGCAACAAATAAATCTAAGAATATAAAAAAAATAAATATGAATAATATAAGAAAATAATCTCTTTAAAACTTAAAGTCCAGAAACTATTTTGTTAAATAAAAGGCATTTCAGTTTTAAATACAAAGTACAATCTTCTCCATCTCTACTGTCAGAGCATCCTTTGCATGCTTGATGTTGTCTGCACTTGAGAAGTATCTGAAAGAAACAATAATTAAAAACAATAAATAAATGTAACAAATAAATAACCTCCTCCAAAGTAGCCTTAGCCTTAATGCATCAGTAATTATAAAATTATTAGGAGCAAAAAGTTTTTGAAAACAGTACCATTTAAAATAATACATAACAAGTGAACTAATATACTCAATGTGGCAATGACAATAATCAATATGGACATGAAGAAACATTTTAATAGACATACCTGTCTTTGAAACGTGGATCCAAGAGAGTTGCAACTGCATACAAGGGATCTTCCTCGATGGTTGCGAATCGTTTCTTGATGGCCTCAAGAAGGGTAGTTTTCATTGTTTTTATACCGGTGTCCTCCTGGCTCTCCCGAGCATGTAGCCGTTTTAGAACTGTAACTGAGGGGATGACTTCCGCTACAGATGAGGTGGAGGAGCTAATCTGTTTGGTCAGTTCCTCAAATGGTGCCAAAACAGTGACAGTTTTTTCCAGCAAAGCCCACTGGTTGGCTGTCAATGTGGCTGGCAGGTCGTGATCAGCTACGTATGCTGAAATCGGCCGCGTCTGCTCAAAACTCTCTACCATATAAAAAGTACTATTCCACCTTGTCGCCACATCTTGGTGCAAATGTTTGTTGGCCATTTTTAGATCCCTCTGAATATCCTCCAGGCACGTTGTGGCCAATGGTGAGTGTTTGAAATGGCCAATTATCTTCCTACAGTTCGCCAGAGCATCGTTTGTATTTCTTCTACGCTGCTCTAAATAGTGGTTGCTTGTGGCAACACAGCACAACTTCCTGTGTTTGCATTCTGAGCAGCGAATAAGAATTGATTTCCGATTTGCAGCGTTAAGCAAAGCTAGCGGGCGCATAACTAGGTCTTGTTTAAGAAAATGGTATTGGATTGGTAAATGGGTTCAAGCACTCGCCGATACCGATGCCAGAATTTTTTGTGGTATCGGCGGAATTTCCGATACTAGTATCGGAATCGGAACAACCCTAACTGTGATGCCATGTCCCGGCCGGAGCGAAGAGACAAAAACTGTGACGACCCCGGGCTGGACTCCGCTTCGTCCACGGTGAAAGCCGATCCGGCGATCCACAGCGTGAAGTTGATGTATTTCCTCAGCGACCAGCATTGATCAGCTCTAGGCATGACGAAGCGGATATCGTCCTCTTTTGGAAGGCCAAACAAAGTAGTTTCGCTTTCACAACGAAACACACAGCGTCTTCACGACATGGCGGCAGCAACAATACTACAGCTAGAATAAAAGTTACGCCTTCTGTCTTTGCGTGAACATTTGGGCGGCATTATGCAAATCTTCCCACATCGTGACGTAGACATGTGGGGGCGTGTTAGAACGAGCCGTTTTAGGTAGGTGTGGCTGACTCTTACCTTTTATAAAGAATATCTCTTTGGATTTGAGACTTTAGTCTTTGCAACTTTACAGATCTTCTTTATGCACCAAGAGTTTGTAACTCTCCAAAGAGAAAGGAAAAATTGAAATCGCAGCATATGACCCCTTTAAAAAAATTATAAAGAAATATTAAAATATAATATAAAAGAAATATTTAGAAAGGTAAAAAAAAATTACAAAAGCACATAATTACTAAAACAATTAAAATGAAAACTGAAAATATATATTTTTAAAATACTATACTTTATAAATAATACTAAAATAACACTGCTGCACCAATGCTTCACAGCCCCCACCATGTTTATTTTTGTGGTGCAAATATAAATCCACATTTTTGAATCTGACTATACAAATTGCCTGGTTTACATGTCAGTTATCTGATTATTTAGGCTTATTCTTTTGGATCATGCACAGTCAGATTATTTGTTTTCGTTTGAGGTGTTTGCATAATGATTTTTCAGTGAGGTATCACTTACATTTATGGAGTATTAGGCTTCATGTAAACATAGCTCCCATTTGGTTTTGTAATATTTGTTATTCTGTGGCCTTTAGTGAGAAATTTGAGAGGTGAAAAGAGAAGATTGGGTGCCACATTTTGTCTTTTTATGCTAATGGTAATTACAGGGGATAGGAGAGGCCACTCCATGGGCACCCACCAGCCGAATCTCTTAAGTTAATGTGTGTGTAGTATTGCTCTCATGTTTAATGGTGGTTAGCTTCAGAGAGAGCATTCATGCCAGAAAATACTGCATTGCATCTCTCTTTCCTGGTACCAGCCATATTCTCTCCTCAGCCCAGCCTCCATTACCACTTTAGCTCTCTGCTCTAATTACTCTTATGTGTCGCTTTTAGCAGCGCACCAAACAGATGAATAAGCATGTCTCGATGAAGCTTAACTATTTTGAGGTCCCAGATATAAATCGCAGAAATAAGCAGAGCGACAGATTTAACCCAGCTGACTAGGGATTTAACGATTCACTCAACTCACGATTCGATTCGATTCACGATTTTATTTTATTTTTTACAAAATGAGATTTAAGACAAATTATAAATTAAATGTGTCCTTTTATTATTGCTTGGACAAAATGCTACACATTTCTTTGTGAAATTGAAATATAACACTATAATAATATACTAATATAGCACTTGCATATTATTGCTCTTTTGTTGGTTTTGATTGCTTCTGTTGTCCTCAGTTGTAAGTCGCTTTGGATAAAAGTGTCTGCTAAATGACAACATTTAAATATAATGTAAATGTAAATAACAAAACTAAATTTAAATTTTAAAACAAGCCCCAAATCAAATAAATAAGTAACACAAATAAAATAAATCTCTTCATATAAACAAAATAAGGCTTTGTCTGTGCTCTTTCCATTTAAAATTAGAGGCAAGCACTGCATTTTAATCATGATCCAAACAAAGATGCTGCATGCATGCAACATGAGCAATTTTTATTGGATTGTATAATTTCAAAATTTGAAGCAAAAACAGAATGGTTTGACTTCAGTTTTGTGAAACTATACATAAAAATATCTGCATGAAACAGCGGACGAGCTGAATGAGACGCAGATTCACTCTCTGCCAGCAGGTGGTGCTTAAAGCCTTTCCTTGGTTTCCGCGGTAAACAAAGCAGTGCTGCACTTATGAGCTTTAATATGCATTATATGGATGGGTGATACCTCTTATTTTATTCTCAATCCGATACCGATATTTTCAAGCCCAGTATCCTCGATATCGATACCTATAAACTAAATTGATCTTTTTTTCAAGCCCAGTATCGTCAATATTGATACCGATACTTCTAAACTAAACTGACCTTTTTAAATTATTAAAATAATATAATCAGTAATTATACTCACTTAATATTAGATTTGTACATTTCATAGGCCTTTTTTGTTTACACTGTCAAAAATAAAATATCCTATAATTGTATTTTAACCCTTTACTGGGGCAGTAAACTCACAGGTGCAACTATACCCCTAAAAGGGAGCATATTAGTACCATACAAGTATGCATGCTTTAAAGGGGTCATAGGATGCTACATGCACTTTTACAAGTTGTTTGAACTGAAATGTGTGTTGGCAGTGTGTGTACACAACCACCCTATAATGATAAAAATCCACCCAGCTGAACTCGCAGTGGATTACATTTGTTTCTGAAGGGAATGCGCC